ATTTGTGTACTATTTATATTTTATTTCAGTTCTCAAAACTTTTGCTATGGTTCATTGTGTGTTTTGCAGATTTTCAGCTGAAAGGTAAACCTGGTACTTGTACTGTCCCAAACACACAGTTAGAGACCTCTTCTCCACTTCCCTGCTCTATGGAATTTCCCTGTGTTTTCTAGTTCCCAGTGGTTTCATTTCCCATTTTCTCTGGCAAGAAAAAATGGGTTATTTCAGTTTTATTTCCCCATGCTATTACACAATTTCACGTGATTGGGACTGCTTTTGTAGAGAGGTGGTAAGAGAAAAAAGAGTGAGGATTTCCTCCAACTATTTGTACAACAGGGGTCATTCTTTTATGTTCTTCTATCCAGAAGAATTGATCTTCTTTCAAATATGAAGGAGAGATAAAGTCTTTTCCAAAAATACAAAGACAGAGAATTCACCACCACCAGATCCATCTTACAAGAAAAACTAAAAGGAGTTCTTTAATCTAAAAGAAAAATACACTAACATGCAAAAAGAAAACATTTGAACGTATAAAACCAACTGGTAAAATTAAGTACATGGATAAACCCACAGTAGTCTAATACTGTAATTGTAGTGTGCAATCCACTCCTAAATCTAGTATGAAGCCCCAAGGCAAATCTATTGAAAACAATAATAGTTACAGTAACCTTTTAAGAGATAAGAAATATAAAAATATGTAAATTGGGACAACATAAAGTCAAAATGTGGGGCAGATTGGATTAGAGTTTTTTTCTTTTTTCTTGTTTGTTTCTATTTTCTTTGTGATCTAAGATAAATTGTCATCTTTTTAAAATAATTCGTTATATCTATGAGATATTTTTTATAAGCCTCATGGTAACCACAGTGGAAAAACCTATAATAGAGTCACTGAATATAAAAAGCAATGAATTAAAGAGAAAATGATCACTTAACTACAAAGGAAGACTATAAGAAAGGAAGAAAGGAAGGAAGGAGTTACAAAACATTCAGAATATAATCAACAAAATGACAACAGTAAGTCCTTACTTATCAATGATAACAGCATTTAAACGGACTCAATTCTCCAATTAAAAAGCATAGAGTGGCTGAATGGATAAAGAAACAAGCCTTAACTTTACACTGTCTGCAAGAAACCTAATTCATCTATAAGGACACACATAGACTGAAAGTGAAGTGGTGGAAAAAATTCCATGCAACTAGAAACCCAAAAAGAGCAGGGGTAGTTATACTTACATGAGATAAAATAGATTACAAGTCAAAAACTGTAAAAAGGGACAAA